CTCACTACCTGAAATGGTGGACAAGGAAATCGTGAGATAAAAATATCTCAGTAAGTAAACATGGGGGCCCGACATCAAGTATAAAGCATGCCAAACAATCGGTTAAAACATGAACAAACGTTTCAATAACAAATCATTAATGCAAGATAAAATCACGTAGTGGTCTCCTCTATTAGTCATGGCCAGTGTTATAAACCTCCCACTGGCAGGCACACGAGTTAACACGACCATATTGGAGACAAAACCAAGCAAACTTTACAAACAAAACCGAAATTCACAATCGTTCTCACTTTCAAGAATAAATCAAAAGATCTCATGTGGGCATGCTTAATTCTAGAAAATAAGGAAAATGATAAAAGTTTAATTTCCCTTTTTAATCATGCTCAAATGCAATTAAAATCCATTTAAGCCTCGCCACCATCTCAGAAAACAATTAAAATATGCTTCAAAAATTTACGGGCTTTACCATAATTTACTTACCTTAATTACTCAGGACAGAAGGCCTAATCCCAGCACTACGATCACAAGGCAATCAAGGACCTAATCACAATATTCTCGAGTTAATATCTATAATGAAAATTTCATTCATTTATTTATTTTCATTTCTGCTTTTCTATTCAGACATCAAGCATTAACCGGGATTGGGTATTTATCTATATATCTACAATTATATAATTACCCATATACAATTTTCCTCAATTTCATGGACAAGCAATGGGAGAACCGGCCTTGACAAAAATGGCCAACTCACGAGTTCTCCCCTTTCCTCATGGACACACACACACAACAGCCAAAACCCCCTAATTTCCTACACAATTCATCAACCAAAACTCATTTCTCAACTCGCCGAAACCCATCCCCCACCTTCGGCATCTTGGTCCTTGACAACCCAAACACCCACACAACTAATTAAAGCTCACAAGCAACAATTAATCCACTAATTTTCAAGGATTAGAGAAGCCAACTTACCAAAAATGCTCAACAAGCAAGCTGGAGCTGGTGGGATGAGGGAAGAGCCGGCGGGAAAAATTGCAGGGGGCTTCACGCAGACTTCTAGCAATTGAAGAAAGGAGAATTAGAGTAAACCCACACACATCAAGGTTGAAAAGAGGAGTTTCTGGGCTGATTTTTACCAGGAAAACCGAACTCACACCCAGTTGTGGCCGGCGGCAGGGAAGGAAGAAAGCAGCAGATCCGAAATTCCTGGGTTGAGGGAGAGAGTTTTAAGCTTTAAATTTTGTTGTTCAACAAGAAAAGGGAAGGAATTTACCAAGATCTTACCAAGTTTCCAAGAGGAGCAGGCGGTGGTGAAGGCTGGTGGTGTTCGG